TCAGGAAAACTTGGCTTATTAGGCAAATCGGGCCTTGAATAGTAGGCTGAGAAGTGAGTTCTGGCTACTAGGTACGACATATATATATATATATATATATATATATATATATATATATATATATATATATATATATATATATATATATATATATATATATATATATGCAATTGACGATCACAAAACACTGATCATTTTATGCGGAAAATCCACAGAGAAATATGAAAGGAGGTGAACGTTTCGGCTTTAAAGTCCAAGGGTTTAACAAAGCCGAAACGTTCACCTCCTTTCATATTTCTCTGTGGATTTTCCGCATATATATATATATATATATATATATATATATATATATATGTAGTATAATACTGTAGTGAATGTCTGCTAATGAATAATTTTGATTAACTACATATCAACCATAAACTCCCCATAATGTGTTTGGAAAGCGATTTGTGAGACATTTTAAATTTAATTAAATAAGAAATACAGTCCACTAAGCATCATACCATTTGTTATCGAAATATATAAATTAACGTAAAATCAGTAGACACAAATGTGTCATCTGAGTCTCCGACTGACCAATCCTTGAAGGCGATCAATATGCAGTGGTCACGGTACTGTGTACATTTGGGGTGATCCTGGACGTCATGGGTTCGAATCCTGGTCGGGTCATTTAGTGATTTTAAGGCTTGTGCGTTCCTGCAGCCTTTATCACATTTCCTGTACCCTGTGGACACAGAAAAGGATTTTCAGTAGAGCAGGTATTCAGCATATCCCATAAGATAGGTCAGGGTACCTTGAGGGAATTATGAGGGGGAAAGCACCAAACCCTTACGATTATATAGAACTTGGAAGAGGTCAGAATGAGGATTTGGGATGGGACAGAGGGACGGAATGGTGCCCAAGCACTTGGGCGGTCGGGATTGAACGCCGAACCTGCATGAAGCGAGACCGTCGCTCTACCGTTCAGCCCAAGTAGTTGTCGAGGTACCTTGAGTGGAGGGAGGTGCTCTTGTTGATACACATTGTCCAATATTATGTTTATGTCCATTCCACTGGAACGTTAGTGAATAGACTTTCAACGTCAAGAACATAAGACCATAAGAACAATGGTAACTAAAGAAGGTCTTTTGGCCCATACGAGGCAGCTCCTATTTATAACCACCCAATCCCACTCATATACAAGTCCAACCCACGCTTGAAACAATCGAGGGACCCCACCTCCACCACGTTTCGCGGTAATTGGTTCCACAGATCAACAACCCAGTTACCGAACCAGTATTTACCCAAGTCTTTCCTAAATCTAAACTTATTCAATTTATACCCATTGTTTCGTGTTCTGTCTGTGTTGATACTTTTAATGCCCTATTAATATACCCCTTTGTTATGTCCATTCAATCACTTGTAAACCTCTATCATTTCACCCCTAACTTTTTGTGTCTCCAGTGAATGCAATTTAAGCTTTGTTAATCTTTCTTCATATAAAAAATTTCTAATTTGGGGAATTAACTTTGTCATCCTATGCTGGACACGTTCAAGTGAATTTATATCCATTCTATAGTACGGCGACCAAAACTGATCTGCATAATCTAAATGGGGCCTAACCAGAGTAGGATATAGCTGAAGAACAACCACCAGGTGTCTTGTTACTTACGCTTCGATTAATAAATCCCAGTGTCCTATTTGCCTTATTGCGAACATTCATGCATTGATCCTTTGGTTTTAAACTCTTACTAATCATAACTCTCAGATCCCTTTCGAAATCCGACTTCGCAATCTCAACACCATCTAGCTCGTATCTTGTAACTATCATCATTACCTATCTTGAGGTTATCTTGAGATGATTTCGGGGCTTTAGTGTCCCCGCGGCCCGGTCCTCGACCAGGCCTCCACCCCCAAGAAGCAGCCTGTGACAGCTGACTCACACCCAGGTACCTATTTTACTTCTAGGTAACAGGGGCATAGGGTGAAAGAACCTAAACCTAGCCTCAAAACTTTACATATATCAGCATTAAATTGCATCTGTCAATCTTTTGACCATTTTAGGGAAAGAAAGCTATGATATCACGGGATTCTCTCGTTTTCAGAACATCAATAAATTCGTTGCTAGATTTAGGGAAGAATGTGGTCGGGATGTATGGCTTAAATCCCCACCACATATTTCCTTAAATCTTGCGTTCTGAAAACGAGAGAACCCTGAGGGATCATACCCTCCCTTCTCTATGGCTTGCATAAACCTCATAAACCTTATAATCTGCCCAGGCCAATAATTAGTTCCATAGGTTAAGTATCATATCAAAATGGCTAGTCCAATTTCTACATCCTATTTCTGGTAATGTGTCTTAATTCAAATATAAAGAATAACGTAGATTTAGTTGACAAATTATGTAAAAGTTATGTAATTATGTAAACCTCTGTAATTATAAAATGGTTAGCTTGATGGAACTTCTTTATTCACTAAATTTCCAGTTTATGACTTTCTCAGATGAAATTTTAAATATGATTTGCCCCCATTTCAGTTCCTACGCTAATAGAATTGAATAAACTGTGTTATTAATTCTAATTTTGTTTTTAATAATGAATTCTATTGTAAAATATTGGAATAGCTTTGGGTTAACCTCTTTCTCCTGTTTAAAACAATCATTATGTTGAATTCTATGCAACAAGACTATTAAGCATTTTTATTAAGCATTTAAAATTTTGCCTCTTATTGTTACATGATTCCGTTATGTTGATGATGTGTTTTGCTTATGGACCAGGAATAGAAACATGACACATTTTTATTAGAATTAGATTTTTTTTAATCTAGCCCTCATCCATTAAGTTTATAATGGAAATGGAACAAGACAACTTTTTACCATTCTTAGATGTGATAATTTATAAATGTGAAAATAATTTCAAGCTTTCTGACTATAGATAACCAATAAATGTTAGGTTTAATGTACACTTTTACTCATCTCATCATCAAAGAGTAAAACAAGCTGTAATTTCTTCTATGTTTCTTAGGGCTCTTAGGATATGTAGTTCTGAGTTATAGATGACAAAATTAGTGTTTAGGTTTCAATTTATAATGCTCCAAGTCATATATTGATAAAGCCAGCAAAATGGCTCGACACTTTAGTTTGAAAAGGAAAGAATAATCCAGTATTAGGAATAAAATAATTCAGCCATTTCATGATAATTTCGATGAAATTCATAAAAATAATCAATGAATTTAATATCTATGTAGCATTTAGAAAACTTGATATCATAAAAACGATATTATAAATTCCGCTGTTAGTTGCAATGGATGTGTGTATAAAATTCCATGTAAATATTGAAATAAGTTTTAGGTTCGCCAAACAGGTAAACATCTTGATCAGAGGATAAAACAACATATATATAGTACAAGAACAGGTCAAGAGTCCAATGCTTTATTTTTTCACTTGAGAGATTGTAATCAACAATTGATTGGAGAAGAAGAAGGAAGGTGTTGAAGAAGAGGGAAGATGTTGAAGAAGAGGGAAGGTGGCGAAGAAGAGGGAAGGTGGTGAAGAAGAGGGAAGGTGGCGAAGAAGAGGGAAGGTGGCGAAGAAGAGGGAAGGTGGTGAAGAAGAGGGAAGGTGTTGAAGAAGAGGGAAGGTGGTGAAGAAGAGGGAAGGTGGAGAAGAAGAGGGAAGGTGGTGAAGAAGAGGGAAGGTGGCGAAGAAGAGGGAAGGTGGTGAAGAAGAGGGAAGGTGGCGAAGAAGAGGGAAGGTGGCGAAGAAGAGGGAAGGTGGTGAAGAAGAGGGAAGGTGTTGAAGAAGAGGGAAGGTGGTGAAGAAGAGGGAAGGTGGAGAAGAAGAGGGAAGGTGGTGAAGAAGAGGGAAGGTGGTGAAGAAGAGGGAAGGTGGTGAAGAGGGAAGGTGGTGAAGAAGAGGGAAGGTGGTGAAGAAGAGGTATGGTGGTGAAGAAGAGGGAAGGTGGTGAAGAAGAGGGACGGTGGTGAAGAAGAGGGAAGGTGGTGAAGAAGAGGAAGGTGGTGAAGAAGAGGGAAGGTGGTGAAGAAGAGGGAAGGTGGTGAAGAAGAGGGAAGGTGGTGAAGAAGAGGGAAGGTGGTGAAGAAGAGGGAAAGTGGCGAAGAAGAGGGAAGGTGGTGAAGAAGAGGGAAGGTGGTGAAGAAGAGGAAGGTGGTGAAGAAGAGGGAAGGTGGTGAAGAAGAGGGAAGGTGGTGAAGAAGAGGGAAGGTGGTGAAGAAGAGGGAAGGTGGTGAAGAAGAGGGAAGGTGGTGAAGAAGAGGGAAGGTGGTGAAGAAGAGGTATGGTGGTGAAGAAGAGGGAAGGTGGTGAAGAAGAGGGAAGGTGGTGAAGAAGAGGGAAGGTGGTGAAGAAGAGGGAAGGTGGTGAAGAAGAGGGAAGGTGGTGAAGAAGAGGGAAGGTGGTGAAGAAGAGGGAAGGTGGTGAAGAAGAGGTATGGTGGTGAAGAAGAGGGAAGGTGGTGAAGAAGAGGGAAGGTGGTGAAGAAGAGGGAAGGTGGTGAAGAAGAGGGAAGGTGGTGAAGAAGAGGGAAGGTGGTGAAGAAGAGGGAAGGTGGTGAAGAAGAGGGAAGATGGTGAAGAAGAGGGAAGATGGTGAAGAAGAGGGAAGATGGTGAAGAAGAGGGAAGATGGTGAAGAAGAGGTATGGTGGTGAAGAAGAGGGAAGGTGGTGAAGAAGAGGGAAGATGGTGAAGAAGAGGGAAGATGGTGAAGAAGAGGTATGGTGGTGAAATAAGACTACTAGACTACTAAGACCTCTTGTTATGACAAGTTTGAAACCCGCGGAGGATGAACTACCTCCTCCTATCCATCTCATTTATCTCTCCTTCCTTTCCTCTTGCAGTTAGTAAGACGCTTCTTAAGACGCACACCTCTAGAGCCTTGTTAGAAGTAAAGACTTAATTCCACCCTGACTCATGCCTGTTTTCTTCGTCTGCTCTCACTGGAGGTCTGGGAGACCTGCTGCTGCTCTAGTGTCTTACCTGCGGTGTTTGACCTCCACTCACAGGAGAGGAGTGCCACCAGGAGTGTGTGGGAGGGTGCCACGCCCCCCACAACGCCTCCTCCTGCGTCGCCTGCAGGAACTACCTCCACCACCACACCTGTGTACAACACTGTCCCCCCTCCTCACCTGCCAACGTCCACGTGAGTACTTTACCCGTTGTATGATTTAACCTGATGTACCCACCTGGTGTGTGATCACCTCCTGGTGTGTGATCACCACCTGCTGTGTGATCACCTCCTGGTGTGTGATCACCTCCTGGTGTGTGATCACCTCCTGGTGTGTGATCACCTCCTGGTGTGTGATCACCACCTGGTGTGTGATCACCACCTGGTGTGTGATCACCTCCTGGTGTGTGAACACCACCTGGTGTGTGATCACCTCCTGGTGTGTGATCACCTCCTGGTGTGTGAGCACCTCCTGGTGTGTGATCACCACCTGGTGTGTGAGCACCTCCTGGTGTGTGATCACCACCTGGTGTGTGAGCACCTCCTGGTGTGTGATCCCCACCTGGTGTGTGATCACTGTTGGATTTCTGGGGCTTGAATTCAGGTATTAAATTATTTGATTATTGTATTTAAATAAATCGAAGGACCACCCACTTTTGAGAAAAGAGGGAAAACGAATAATAGTGATTATTAGATTAACACTATAGAATCAGTGCCTATGGATAATAATTAAATGAATAATCACTTGAAAATAATGAATAGACTGTATTATTAATTAATTAAAGTCAAAGCCTCAAATATCAACATTGGGGGGGGGGGGGTTATTTCTAGAAGTTCATATATATCTAGGAACCAGTGTGGTTCGTCACTAGTTCATTGCTGAGTTAGTAACATAGTAAATCGAAACTAAAATAGATTCAAAGATATGATACCTCAAATTATGAATATTAAAGATTATGAATTATTGAGCAACAGTAAGAGCAAACACATTAATTACCAAATCATAATTTCTGGCAATAAATTATTCACTGTAAAGATCCTATATGAATCATATGGAAATCAGTAATAATCTTAGATAAATTTGTACGAAATAAATGTCTTAGCTGTAAGACGATTTCTGTAACGCCATTTCGTCATTCGTCCTCGTGGTCACAGGATCCCAATAAAGAAAGAACCCGAGGTGAATATCACGAATGAAGAGAAACAACTTGTCGATTCCTCGTATACACGCTGAAATCAGAGAAGTTTAAGTAGCATTTGATTAGGCTACGAATTATTTCAAGTATTTATGAAATCTGAGATAAATGTGGAAAATCAACTAACGTTGTGTATTTGGTATCCATTCGTTGTCACGCCAGACTACCCACAAATATACAATCTAGAATGATGCATCAAACGAGAATGGTATACTTAACATGAGCATATCAAATACTAAGGTCTGCCAAAACCGCGTCAGCCAGTCCCAGGCGTCTACTGCTGTGTGCGTGTAATTACGGGCTGTGGCTTCAATTGTTGATGCGTTATTAACTGGCGGGGCACTGTAGAACACGTGAATAGGCAATTGTCGACTATTAATTGAGTTACAACGTAATTCTTGTTGGAAAACTCCTCAGTCACTACCACGCGTCTTGCCACTCTTATCGCCAGGGATGCCTCGTGTGCAATGGCGTCTTCGCCCTCCCTCAACCCGTCTCTTGCATTCACCACAGAAATTACTAATCACGGATAATTCTTTTCAGCGTAATTATTGATGTAATACGTTAATGAGAACTGGGTTGCAATTATAGGGACTTAAATATTATCATATTCTCGTTTAGTGGTGTTAAACGAGAATTGGAGAAGATGTTTATTCTCTCCATAGCAATTATACGTAACAGATAAAACTGCTACTTGATAATAATTTCAGTTAATAACTCTCGGGTTTAGATTATCGGGAGTCATATTATCCGTAGGTAATTATTACACGTAATACTGATAATTTTAGAGAACCACTTTCATTTCTCTAACACATTGGTAATAAACGTGTCTAACTAGACATTATCTGACGCAATTTTGTTACTCGATTTCGTGAGAATTCTAGCACTAACGCGCAAATAAAATTGTTAATTTATGTTAACACTACCGTTAGTGAAATTAGTAACTACTGTAGTTAGTATATAATGATGATGATGTATTATAATACAATAGTAGTTTGTTAGTGTTGGAAATTTCCAACATAACTCCGGGGGGGAGAAAACTCAGTTCGCAGTGCAATGTTGAGTACTGACGTACCTATCTCGAAGTTAGTATTAATGTTAGTATGTTATTGTGTTAGTACACACATAACGGATGCCCCGAATCTGTCAGAGACAGATAATACTCTAAGTCATTATTGGAACATGAATTAAACATTGAAATATTAAATGATTATGTTATCTGTAATCAAGAACCCTCTAAAGCTTACAATAAACTCAACAACTAGGGTAGCAGTGACATGTAATGGTTGTAATACGTAGTTGTTGAATTGTAGGCAAACTCAGAAAAAGTTCCTAAGAACTGAGAGCATTATTGTATAAGTTGTATTCTACAATATTATACAGTAAAGTATTATTGGGTCATTCAAGATCAAGGAGACTCTGACACTACAGTAAGGTCACTGTCTAGGGTCGCTGTGACTTGTAACTATTGAGTTGCTAGACAATAACATCACAGAGCATCATGATCACCCCAAAATCAAATGAGGAAATTTGATTTAATATGCACTGCCGTGCAGTAGTCATTCTGACTGATGGTATAACTAAGTTGCTAACTAGCTAAAATAGTGTAATATTAGAGAACTGAAAAGGTTTGTTCATTAAAATCAAGGAAGATTCTGAGTCGACAGTGAGATTAGTAGCCTAGTCATTCTGACTCATGAGCTAATTGAATTGCAGCTCATAGGCTTGACACTGTAAACTCATTAATACATCCTCAACCTTTAAATGAAAATTGAGTTTATTAAATCAGTCTCTTTAAGTATAGTCAACTGTAATTTATCATGAGTACAGACTAGGCTAGTACGCAGTTGACACTAACTAAAGTCCTTAAACCTACCTAAATAGATGGTTTAAATTTCTAACCCACCTAAGTAGAGGACTAAGCTAATTGTGATAACTCACTAATTCTTAGTGAAGTTACTCTAGCTAAATTGTGAGCAGTAATGTACTCGAATTAACATTGGGAGCTGTATTGAGCTCGTTAACAGGGTGAGCTACGTTGAGCTCGTTAACATGTTGATCTATATTGAGCTCGTTAACATTGTGAGCTATATTGAGCTCGTTAACAGAGTGAGCTATATTGAGCTCGTTAACAGAGTGAGCTATATTGAGCTCGAACTAACAGGGTGAGCTATATTAAGTTCGTTAACAGAGTGAGCTATGTTGAGCTCGTTAACAGTTAAGAGTGAGCTATATTGAGCTCGAACTAATGAGGTGGAGTATTGTAGCGTTCAATTATCATGGCGAGCAATATTGAGCTCGAATTCGCATGGGGAACAATAAGGCACTCAATTATTACATTAATTCATAGGTGAGCTGTAGGATCAGCTTGGGTTATTAGTGTAAGATCCTTGTTGAAGAATAGCTAAGCACAGAATCTAGGCAGATTCTCTGGTGAGCAGTGCTCGAATTAGCGCGGGGAGCATAGTAGCGTTCAATTATCATGGCGAGCAGTGCTCGTATTAGCATGGAGGAACATTAAAGGGCTCAATTGTTACGCTAACTCAGGGTGAGGTATATTGAACTTGAATTAACGAGGTGGAGCATGGTAGCGTTCAATTGTCATGGCGAGCAGTGCTCATATTAGCATGGGGAACATTAAATCGCTCAAATATTACGTTAACTCAAAAGTGAGCTATATTGAGCTCATTAAGCATGTTAAGTAACAATGCTGATGATTTAATGATAATGCATTAAACAAAGGGAAACCTAAGATTGCTGGAAATTTAATTACTGCCACGATTAATCCTATTCAAAGATAATTTGTAACATTTTCCCAACCTAAACGTTTCACGGGTTATTAGTTCTGTGTAGATTCACTTACGTATTGGTAAGTTTGCAAGTTTGTTCGTGCTGCACTCCTACAATAATTAAGCAGAAACGAAAGAAAAAACAGCTCAAACAAATATTGATGCAAGTATTTTTCACTAACTCTTAGTGCAGAAAACATTGAATTAATAAGGTTTTTTGGCAAACCTTAAGCGCAGGTATTTTGGACCTTGGTCCCAGTGAATTTATAATTATAGAAGTTGCTTGATGACTTCATTGTATTGTTAAATTCAGGAAATGCTAGATGCATTGAGTGCTAGATTCTTTAGCCTAATATTATCAATTACCTAGGGAGACTGAGTGTGGTAAATTATTACTTGTCGAGAATAATTCTAGGTATGCAGTGGATTCAATGGCTTGGTCGCTGTGACTTGTACTTGTTTAGGTACGGACCACTGGTTTTCCACTGAGAGCTATGAAACATCTCGGCGAATACTAATTGTACTACATTCAATCTGAGTTTATTACACAGCTGTGTTTCTCATTTTAGCTAGTTGCTGGAGAATTGATTTACTGCTGACTAATTTATTATTGTTGGCAGGCCTAGGCTTGTTCGCATTCAGAACTTTACCGGTAAGTTTTTTATTTTTTTTTTTATTTTTACATGCAAGCATGCAAGGTAAAGACAATAAATACAATAAGATATCAGAGAAAACAAAAACAAAATACAGAAGCCACCGGCCAGAAGGACCGACAGCACAGGACAATAATTAGCAAAAATGGAGGAACGCATGAGAAACACAGCATACATCAAGACAAATTAAAGAACAATAACAATAACAAACAAGCAAATAAACAAAACTTAGGAACAATATAAAACAAAACAAACAAACACCGGCCTAAAGGAACGACAACAAAACACATCATAATTTACAAAATGAAACATAACACAAGACAGTGCATACACAAACAAATCATAAATATAAACAAAAGGAAAATTAAAAAGAAAACACAACATGGTAATACATGAAGAGAATACACACTCTGCAAAACACCGGCCCCTCCACAAAGGAAGAGGCACGGGCACAGAAGACAGTAGGGCAAACAAAACGCCAGAGGGGCACACAACACTACAAATAGGGGAAAAAAAAGGGAATCAGCGGACATACTTGCCCGGGAACAAGACCCGTG